TTTTTTTTTTTTTTTTGTAATCTCTCAATTAAATCAAAATTATATAATTTTACGTGCAATTAAAGAAATCAGCACATTTGTCGCGTGAAATTGTAAGTATGGAAGTGTAACAAGAAATTTACACAAAAGTATACATCTTAAAAATTTTATTTTTTAAGCATAAAAGAATCGGACTGAACCGAACCAAAATCTGTTTGTCTTGATCCAACTAAGTTCCTTTTTTACTGAAAGAGCTAGAAATTGGGAATTTGAGCACGTGCTTTGTAATTTATCTTATAGTAAATTGAAAGTAATTCTTTTACAGCTCGATTAGTAGTAGATAATCAATTAGAAATAGTTGTCTCCTAGTGATGGACTTATAAGGATTATTAGAGACCTTTGAAATTTGTATATTATCTTGTTTAGTGTGACATATATACCAAATTAATGTATTTCAAAGTTTTGAAACCTCTTCACGTAATACATTGCGTAGCTTTCTTTGTACTTTAGTGGTATTTTGAGTTTGTGTATCCGAATTCGCCATTTCAGGCCTGTTCGAGGTCCATTTTTGGTTTAGAATGTATTTTGGAATAGTAGATTTATGGATAATTTATGATTAAAAAAATAAAGAAAAATTTTGGATTTACGTATAATATTATTTTTTTTGAATAATGTATGTTTGAAAAGAAGAGGGAGAAAAATATATTTTTAAAAAAATGGGGATCAGACCAGAGCTTAATGTTGTTTTCATGAAGAATTAGCGGATTTGGACCATGACATCAAATTTCAAATTTAATTTCTTTATAGGTTGCTTTCTTGTTGAAAATGTCTCTAATAATCTATAATGATATAGACACGTCAAGTAAATTACTAGACTAATGTGATTTTCCATTTTTTTTTCTTGAACCGGGTCCACGGGCGAGAAAATGCAAAAACGTGTGCTTGAAAGTCTTCATAACCCACTACATAAATTTGTCGTAAAATGACTTACGAGCAAGTATAATATCTTTTTTGGTTGAGCGTAGATTTTTCTTTTTCGCGTTTGAAACATGTCTTCCTCGCTCATTAAACTCGTCAGCCTTTTCATCCTTATGTCTCTTTCGATCCCCGAAATTGTTGGAGTTAAACCGTAACATGCAATCCGATGACTTTTAAACATAATGACCCATACCCATCTCCTTTGCCTATATATATCCTAATCTTTGTGCAGAGTGTTGGTAAGAAAATCCTCTTTTATCTCCATACATACTCAATTCTTTGTTCACATATATATTTTTCCACTCTTAACAATGGAGTCGATTGACACAACATTGACATCACAGTCTCTTTCGTCTTCACCTTCTCCTCCTCGACAATCTGTTGTGTTGAGCCCTTGTGCCGCTTGCAAGATGCTACGTCGAAGATGTGTTGAAAAATGCATTCTCGCGCCTTATTTTCCTCCTAATGATCCATTAAAATTCACTACTGCTCATCGCTTGTTTGGCGCGAGCAACATAATCAAGCTTTTGCAGGTATACTCATAAGATATACATCTCATACTTTTACTATGCTTTCATTTGCTTCATTTTTGGTTGGCAAACTCATTTTTAGTCAACTTGGTGTGGATTTGCAGACATTTTTAATTGGAGTAAATGCATAAGAGATAAACCAGAAACACAATTGAGAATTATGTACCAAAAAAAAAAAAGAAAGAAAGAAAAAAGTTTCGATCGAGAGTTGAAAAATAAAAGAGTTCACACGGGTTGGTCGATAGAAACGTCTGAAAGTAACCCGTACGTTTGACCAAATTTTTGTTTCAGACATTGATTAGTTGCAAATTTCTGAAGAAGAAAGATATCTGATAAAATTTTATCTATTACCATCTCATAAAATCGTTGCTCGACAAGTGTAGAATTTGTGATAAATGATCGAGCGCTAAAATTTCAGGAATTGCCCGAGTCCCAAAGAGCCGATGCTGTGAGTAGCATAGTGTACGAAGCGAAAGCCAGGCTTAGGGATCCCGTATATGGATGTGCCGGAACAATTTGTCAACTCCAACATCAAGTCAGTGAGCTCCAAGAACAATTAGCCAAGGCACAAGCAGAACTTGTGAACATGCATCGCCAACAAGCAGAGCTTATGACTCTCGTTTGGATGGAAATGTCACAATCTTCACCAACATCTTCACCACAACAATCCTTGGATACCATCATTAACTTCCAAGATGAAAACAACTTTGGATACTTATGGGAACAACACCTTTGGACATGATGATCATATTTATTTCTATATTATTACAATATCAAAGATGGTCGGAACTATATTTTTTATTAGTATCGGATTCAAAACTTAGAATCCCAAGTTTAAAATTTCAAAGGTTCTTGGTTAATGGTACAATGTGGAAGAAACGACTAAGCCTCTGACTGGTTTAGTTAAAAAGTTGATAGTGTAAGTGAAAGTACAATTAATTTTAATCACAGTGTTCATAAAACCCGCAAATTTTATCAATTTTTTATTCACATATTTCATCACATAATCTATTAAAAATCTAATCTCTAGCAAAATCGAATAGGGTCTTAAGTTTAATCGTAGTGAAATTTCTAACGAGTAGATGAAATTGATGGATCTTGTTCCCCCATATTATCTTATGATATCACAAGGAGAAATGTCTTTGTCCAAATGTCCAATCTTGATTGCTTTTGTTGAAATGTAAAACAACTTTCAGCTCACCTAAATACCTAACGGTTTCACTATCATCAATTCTAATTATTTCTTTGAACGATAATATAATTACTTTTCAATGTAGTCTTACCCAATATTCTTGAACTTAGCTTGTTCGATCCCTCCCTTGTTTTCTATAAACCATTTTTTTTTTTTACTTTTAGAGTAACTTTTAGTTAATTAATAAAGTTTTGTTAAAGGTAAATACTAGATAGCCACGTCGTGTAAATAATAGGAGTTTGTATTACTGTTTTTACTAAAATTGACATTTTAAAAGGGAACGTCAATATTCAAAAAACTCAAATGAGTAGTTAATTTGTCTAAAGCTCAAATGCATGAGTTACTTTAAAGACTTGCATTGAGTAAATATGAAAATGCCTGTGTTACTTTTTCTTTACGAGGTTGACCATTGATGGAATAAAATTGCAAGTGCGCGAAAGCACCAAAAAGTAGTAAAATAAACTTAAGAAGCTGGATTATTGTCCATGACAAATTTTCCATACAACCATTGATTTTAATAGACCTATGATCATTGTTTCGACTTGGCTACTACATTTTTTACAAAGAGAAAGTTCAATTAAGTAAATTCACTATCTCTAGTGAATCTTAACCTAATTAAATGCATTAATAAAAAAATCCATTTAACAACCGCAATAACCTAAAAGTACGTCTATCTTGTCAGGTAATTTCTTAGTTTTCAAATATGTCCATATCTGATGTGTTTTATTATCAACAAATATGTGAGGTAGTCTCAGTTGAACTGGTAGCTGTAGTGTGAGGGTTCGATTTCTGCCTCTTATAAGGTATGAAATTGGACTATTTGTGGGCACCAGTATGACAGTTCTTGTACCCTGACCTGTTGAGGCACATCCCGCGATTTACCTCCTCTACAATGCTCTAGGGACGGAGCGGTGGGTGGGCCTCAAAGTTGGGGTTCAACCTTTTTTTATTATCAACAAATATGAATTACTCCTATTTAAACCATTGTTTAATGTATGGTTCATTAAAAAAATGTCAATAAAATTTATGTTTTCTATATTTTTTTATTTGTATGAAAATAGAAGAAAGTCTATTTTTATAGAATGAAATGAATACCTTTTTTTGGAATAATGAATTCCTCCTCGTATACTGCATTTCTCATCATCAAACACTAGTTCACAGCATTGGCTAAACTTCTACGTTAATGGTAAGGGTTTTTTTTTACTTGTTGCATATGGATTCACATGTTAAGAAATAAATCTCACAATAATCCGAAATATGGACCAGCATTTAACGATTTTGGCTATTCCTTAACAAGGTTGACCTTGTAAGATGGATCGTGTTAATTCTTCGAATGAGGTGGTTTGAACTTGAAAAATATTAAGTGCTTCCCTCTATATTTATAAAAGGATCAACTTTTCACTTTTTCTTCCCTTTGTGTATTTCTACTATATGCAGACATGCAAAAGGTGGAAGCAGCAGATTGTACAACCTGGCTCTCAAAAATATACCAAGAACCCTGCAATTCTGATGGTTGTAATGCCCATTGCCATGTGTGAGTGAAGGTGCTGTTTCGAGAGGTTGTGAAGATTTTGACATTGAAATATTACACGTTTGCGTATAATGTATATGTGATGGTGAATGTTGGCAGAATTGCAATTTTATACTGTTATGCCAAATTGGCCAAAGCCCATCTTACTGAAGCCCAATTTGGCTGAAGCACCATCTGGCCGAAACCCAAAATGGCCAAAGCCTATTCTTGATGAAGCCCCTACTTCTTCCAAAGCCCCTATGCCGAAGCTATGCACAAGGCCCAACGAAGAGGAATCTAAAGTTCATCCATGGCAAATGATGACTTGTGTTTGAAGATCTTAAATTTGTAAAATTCTTTTAAAATGATTGATTGGACTATTGCAATGAGTTAAAAGGGTCAATCTTGTCAGCATAGAGATGGGGTTGCAGCCTTCTTAAGGGATATTTAATGCGCCGCAGGCTAGTAGAGTCAGAATTGATGATCAGGATGTCATATTTCGATTAAGGGGATTGAGCCACGTGTCCTCTCATCCAATGGTTATTATTGTACATGTAATACTATAAATAGATCCTTTAGTGCCATTACAGGGGAGAAATGGTGATCTACAACTCATGTACCCTCTCTCTACAAATACATGGTATTTCAAGAGTTTATGGTGTGATCTTAATCTTTAGCTTTGTTCTTTGTCGATCGTTCATTATCGCATAACTTTGTTCAAATATTTATCGGAGCTTGAACATATTTGCCTCGCGTCGAAAAGCTTTTCGCACGTTCAAATCCGTAACATGTTCGACTAGTAACTTGTCTACATGTGTCGGAATTAGCTTGTAAGGACGCGAATAAGCCTGGTATCTGTTGACGCATTTTTTGTGGTCAACATATACTATCTTTAACTCTTTTCATAAAAAATAAAAGCAACCATTGGTTTTGTTACACCTCTAGTAACGAGTCTTAACGTCAAACCAAGGTCTGCATTCCACGTCACCAGGCCTTATAGCCAAGGCCTCGATGCGTAGAGGCAAATACCACACACCTACATACGTGTCTGAGTAGCCAAAGCGGTTCGTGTCGATACAAACAATGGTGAATTGACACGGTAGAGAGACACACTTGCCAATAGAAGACCCAACGACTTTGCACAATGCACGTGATCTTTTGTACGAAAGATTTGTCCAAGATGAAATCTCTTGAATGGTGGATGTGACATCTTTGCAACATGCACCAAATTGTGAAGTTAAATTTATTTTGTTAAGAAGCATTAAATGCTCATCCAACTATGAAGTAACTGATTGACGTCTAGGAAGGGACGCCTCGACTGGCAAATGAGGCCACGTGCCTTCTATCTAATAGTCCTTCTTTCACACCTTCTTCTATAAATACCTATATTTTGTGCCTTTATGAAGATAATGCAACTCCAGCTTACGCCTTTTCCTCCCTACATTATAAGTGATCCACTACAAGAAATATATACTTTAGCTACAAAATTTTGGGATATGAATTGAGATTTGTAGATAGAGATCGCTTTTCCCCACAAAAAAAAAAATTGTTTCTTAGGGCTAAGATTTATTTCAAATTTTTTGATATTAAAAGAACTCGTGCCCACAAAACTTTGTATTTTTTCAGACAAAATATTTGACAGGCAAAATATTTCGTTTGCCGACAAAAATATTAGACATTTGTAGGCTAACTATTAACGGGAAAAATTTTTGTTTATTATATTTAATTTTTCCCTACAAAATATGCATTTGAAGTTAAAAGATAATTAAAAAGAATAGGAGAAAAGACAAATATTTTTTTTTAACAAAATCCAAAAATTAAAAAAAAAAAACCCCTCCATGACCCACGTAAATCTTCTCTTTGCCTCCAAAATGTTTTCAAAACTAATTCACCCTCGCTTTGCCGCTTCATCTCAATCACGCCCAGACCTAACTCGGATTCTTCAATTGACATGGCATCGATTTTTCATCAACAAATTACGGCTTCATCTACAGCAGATTTTGTGTTCTTCAATCATTCTTTAAAGTTTGCACATCAATCCTATTTATTTTTTGGTTTAAACAGATGATTTTTATTTCATTCTATATGCGCACATCTCAATTGTACTCGGCTAATCTGGGATATGCTAAGAGTCTCCTTAGGCTAGATCCCAGCCCACAGGTGCTTTCCTTCACATAGGTAGGATCGTGTCTCAAATTTCAGAAATTGACTCCCCACATTGAAATATGCTTTCAGAAAAAAAAAATATAGATTTTTAAATTGGGATTTGATTTAGTTTTAGCTTGGGTTGATTCAATTTTGGTTGCTGGTTTCGGAATTCGTTGTTCTTGAAATGTGTGAATGTGGAATTACAAATCTTGTTTTATCATTAGATTAATTTGATGTTGAATTTCCGGAGAGAGTTGGAGTATCATATATAGGATTTAGTAAAAGGAATTTGAAAAATTATGAGCTGAAGCTCGTCTGTAGTTCAATATACACATTATTGGCCTTTGATTTAGATTAACTTGATTTGAGAGCACAGCTCCACTAGTTAACATCTTTTTATATGTATTTATGTTACTGAGTGTTTGGAAAATATGTGCAATGATGTGATTGATGAGTTGAAAATCAAGAATGTAGATATTGCCATGTGAAAAAGTGTAAAGGAAGGTGTAAGAGAGAGTGTACATGTAGTATAATTGAATTTTGTTTGTGTTCTGGACAAATGTGTGTATATTCAATTGAACTTACAGCCTCTAGCATGTGGAAACAAAACATTATCCGGAGAGAGTTGGAGTATTAGATATAGGATTTAGTAAAAGGAATTTGAAAAATTATGAGCTGAAGCTCGTCTATAGTTCAATATACACATTATTGGCCTTTGATTTAGATTAACTTGATTTATGTTATATATGCAGGCTGAATTGAAATGGAAACAAGGCTTTTAAAGATTTGAGAGCACAGCTCCACTAGTTAACATATGGGAAATCTGTGCAATGATGTGATTGATGAGTTGAAAATCAAGAGTGTAGATATTGCCACGTGAAAGAGTGTAAAGGAAGGTGTAAGAGAGAGTGTACATGTAGTATAATTGAATTTTGTTTGTGTTCTGGACAAATGTGTGTATATTCAATTGAACTTATAGACTCTAGCATGTGGAAACAAAACATTTCCTGCTTTTATCTGATTGTTTGATTCCGTTTGGCCTGATAAAATGAACATAGTTTTTCAATAGAATTGTAGGATCTTTCCCTACAAATAAAGTGTTTGTAGAGAAAAATAAAGTTTAGCTCACAAAAAAATTGTGCCATGTTGTCACAAATTTATAATTGTTGAGAAAGATGTGTATATCTTCGCCTACAAATATTCTTTCCACACAAAAAATTATTTGTAGGGCAAAATATGATTTAACTCGTAACATAATTTGTAGAGAGAAGCTTTTCCGTTTCATGGGCAAAAGTAACTTTAGTAGATGAATGATTCTGTCGGACAAGATGTATTTTATTCGTCTCCGAAGGGTTCGTAGGGAAAAACTTTAGATCATAAATTTCAAAAAAATTGTTGTCCTTTACCTATTCTCTTGATATTTGCCCAACTAATATGCCTACAAAACTTTTTTATACAAAGGTTTTCTTCCACAAATAAGAACAAATCCCTACAAATAAATTTTGTAGGAAAAACATAAAATTCTTGTATCATGATATCCATATTCCGGAGGTCCCACCACCGGAATTCTCAATTTTCGTTTATCAATTAACCGATTTGATCGTTGGAGTGTTCACGATAGCTCTCACCGTCATCGTGAAAGGTCATGATTGATTAACGGTGTGTTACAAGTGTACATGGAGGAAAATATGTGGAGTTGCTTTCCGTTAGTTAAGTGTCGGTCCAAATACCGGGGTCAACAGCTTCAATACCAAACTTGGACTTACAGTTTGTGTAATGCCCATTGCCGTGCGAACGAAGGTGCTGTTTCGTTTTTCAATTGTTTGGTTTCTGTCAAGTCCAGTGATTTTTTCCCAGTATGTTGGTGTCTCCGTTGACTTCCAAGTCGCCAATTTTGAATGCCATGTGAATATTGGATAAATAAGAAACAATCTTACGTAGTTTACATTGCTACCAAAATATCAGGAATTTGGACAACTCCATTGATCCAGTAATTGTGCCATTTCTACGAAGCTTCTGGTCTCTAAGTCTGAACAATGCTGTTGATGAATCCGATTCATCATCCATGTCAAAGTTCCATTTAACTCGTAGGAATTCAACTTATTTAAATAATAAAATGTTTATTGATTGAGTAATGCTACTTGCATTCGCTCACTGCAGCAGTCGTCCTATGTGGCATACACGTGGCATATAGTTATTTGATGCATTAATGTGATAGTTTTTAACCATATTTAATGCATCAAATACACACTTGACATATGTGTGCCACATAAAGCGACTGATGCAGTGAGCGACTGCAAGTAGCATTATTCTTATTGATTACCCAACTTAATTTTTTTACTCACCTCGAATTCCATGGTCCACTTTTCAGAGATCTGGACGTCAGTTTTATCATAGAAAAATGGAGAATTGCCGCTAGTCACCACCAAAATCTAAAAATTCAATCTCGTAAAAAATTGGGGTATCATCGTAACTGTCATCATATAAATCGTACAATTTTTCCACCTTTGAAAGTAGAAAAAAGTGTTTCTTCACATAGCATAGGTTCCGTCATTGGACTTTGGTGAACAAAGACTTGTCTCTATTAAGAACATGATTGTACTATGATACCAAACTTATGTAAGAAGTGAGAAATATATGTGAATGAACATAAAATGAAAATCACATTGATTCAAATAGAATACCACGAATTTAAGAATCAATTATTCGTTGATTAACATGTGAATGATGAAATTGAAAAATTGTCACTCATAAAATGTTATTCTTACTATTTTTTTTTTTTACTTTTGATAAGTTAAATATATTTTATTTTTTTCCTAATATGATCGCTAACGAAAATTATTCGTACCATATATATTTTTTATAAGTTAATAAGGATATGTTAGATATATTTTTATTTTTTCTATATATTTACTTGCGACAATGTCATCAGCGATAGTGCTTCGACCAATTGACAGAAACTCGTTAGTGTCACTTACAAAATTTTATTTATTTATACATATAACTTAAATATATTTTTACCCTTTTTTTATAATATTATCGACGACAATGTTGTTAGTGATGTTGTCGATAGACCAAATTTACATTCTCACGAGCTCAAGGTGAGCGTGGCCCTCGAGAGACGAGCCGAGGACGAGGTGAGCTCGTGTATATTTTTTTAAGTTAATGTAAAATAATTTAAAATATCTTTTTGTTTTTCAATATTACTGATAGCAATGCAGTCACCAAATCCAATGCTATATGTACATCATTGTTTACGGGTTGATGGCGTGGAAAAGAACGAAAGAGAAACTATTGGCAAATAAGTTAAAATATACTTTTACCAACAAGAAGAAGAAAACATTGAATTCAGTTAATGAAACAAAGATGAATAGAGCATTGAGTTATAAATATTCCATGTCCTTACAGAGACCCTTCGAAATCTATAAACAAACTTACAAAGATGATTCAGAAGGAAGAGAATACGAGGGGAAATAATTGAGGGCTATGTTTTCAGTTATAATCTACGTGAGCCAAGTAGGTGGTCGAGCTTTCTGTGATCGAGCCATAATGCAAGCTAGTTGTGGATAATGTAGCGGTGTTCCCATATGGGACAAGTGCAGGTTGGTGTTTTCCCCTTCCACTCCATACCGCAAGTATAGCAAAACTCGTATCCACATCTGCAAGGACAATACAAGCAAGAGTTACCGCCTTCAGATAAGAATTTCTGAAGAATAATGCTACTTGTACATAATATAATGAATAATGATGGGAAGTTTTTATTTTATTTTATTTGGTTGAAGAAATTCTAATCCGATCATATCTCATCACATCATATGTATGTAACTCATTATGTACATGTAGCACAACCAATTTCTGAAGATTAGTTCATTGTATAAGATAGGTTGGCTGAAGAACTCCATTAGAGATAAATGGCATTACTCTTCAAAGATACCTGCAAGTTATGTGGAAGCAACCAACGGCTAGTTCAATCATGTTGCTGCATTTCTTACACTGGCGCCACCGTTCTTTTTTAGCAAGTGAATCCAACGCGGCATCCTCCGAACATGAATAAATATGGGAACTTTTGTAATCATAACACGACATGTTCTCATGCCAATTCACCTTGCAGTTGACACAAAAAGACTGGTAACACTTGATGCATTTCCCTGCTCCAATCTTACCTTTCATTTCTGAAAATTCCAAAGCCTCGCGTTTCGACATGAGTGTGGAGCACCGGGAATTTGGGCAATAAATTCTCTCCGTAACAGGAACACGAGCTTCCTTTATTCGTTGAGTCATGATCTCAATTAACTCTGGTGTTAATAACTTTGTGCAGCTATCTATTTTCAGATCAGACCGGCAACCTTGAAAAGGACACTTGGGCACAATCCCTTGGCGCAATTGTACCTCGACATGTTTCTTCACACAAGAAAAGCAAAACCTGTGGAAGCAATATTCAACTGAAAACATCTTGAGTACATTGACAATCTCCAAGCAAATTGCACAAGTTTCCTTCGAATTTGTGCTATGACTATTCATTGTATATGTCACCACCTGATATTGACAGTAAAAACATGAAGTTGAAAGGCTTCATGCTATGGAGAATTGACGCTTGAATAAATAGGAGCATACATAGGAAGTCGGAAGGTTTCGTGTTGTTCGAAATTGTTGATTAAATAGGTATTGGAAGAGTCCTATTTTTCTTAAAACGACTTTTGTGGAGTTTAAGATATCATCCAAGTACAATTGATAATGACAAAATTATTTACAATGATCTTCATATCTTTTTGCGAGTATTTGGTTTATCTCTAATAATTGTTGCCAAAAGGTGTCGCGTGGTGATAGTACGACAATACTTTTTATTGACTAAATAAAATGTAGATATTTCTTAATTTTTGCGATGTGACTCCTCTTTTTCCTACTAAGTTAATAAAGATTGTGTTTCTCTATGCTCAGTCTCACGATTACAAATTTACAACAATGGTAATCAGTTTTCAAATAAGAATTTTAAAAAGTTGAGACAATATATTGCCTTTACTTCCAGGGTTTAGTGTCACAGTCTCACATAGACCATAAAGTGGCTACTAGGATGAAATACCTATACACGAGATGTTATGCAACTCCATGGGAATTACACACATTGAAGAAAGGAATGTTTTGCCAATTGAAGTCATATAGATCCATTAGTGACTGTCAAATCATCCGAATCATCACTCCCGCATCTTCATCGGACGATAAAGGAACCAGCAAACATGCCCCGTGCAAGTGCCCATTCAAGCACACGAAATACTCTAGTCCCTGGCCCTGCAGTTGAGCTGCGGTCATACTCTAGACCCGGGTCTAACAATATGAACTGTTTCGCGCGGATTATCGTTAACAATTAAAAGAAAGATTCAGACGATTGTATAATGAACAAACCTTTTGAGACAAAATCCAAAAATGAGTGCTTTATTTATGAAGATTATAATTGGAAAGAAGCAAAACAACTCCAAGGAGTACAAGTACACGAAGTAAATTGAAAATTTGCAAATAGAAAGTAAATGAATTGAAATACCATATTCTCAGTTGAGAGTATATGATTCGATTTTTTTTCTTCTATGTCTTTTTTCCTTTTTATACTCCTAGCCGTTAGCAACTGTTGTTATTGCTGTTGTTGTTTAACCGCTTGTAACCAAAATTTTTGGATCGTGGGGTGTGATAAGGTTGCTCAATAACCACTTCAATAACTGAACAAAACGCTATATTCGCTCAGACCTTGGGTGTCTCGAAGGCTTGGGTGAGAGTGAGACCATTGCTCTGAGCGACAATGGGGCACTTCATTCGCTCAAATTTTGGACGTTCTACAGGCTTGGGCGATTATAGTCCTCTACTCGTGGGCTATCACTATATTTTACAATGGTCTTGTTTGAGTTCATTCCTCAATTTCTCTAACTGGACTCCATTTCTTGGACCACATAATTGGGCCTTACTTAATAATTGGGCCTCATTTAATCATTGGGACTTATTTAATCGGGCCTCATTTTTGTATGTCAACATGAACATTGGATTTTCTCCTCAAACTCGACCCAACGGTTTATCAAATACTCCTAGGTCCTCGACTGTCTCCATAAATACCTAAAGTGTAGTCTTTGCCCCTTCTTGGATGCTCACACGTGTCTCTCATATTTATATGCAAACAGTGAGCCATAATGGCACTCATGTCGATACGGTATCAAAATGATAGTCAAAGCGCATATGAGAATTATACACCCCTGTAAATGTTATTCTACTTTAGTAACGTTGTTTAATCACGTGAATAGTGCAAAACGTGCATGTTATGATAATTACTGCTACATTTTCATTTCTATACAACGAAAATGGCACTCATGTTAATATGGTGTCATAAAGCTAGATGAAGTGCATATCAGGGGTGCACAAACTTGCAAATGTTATTTTGCCTTAGTGATGTTTTTTCAGTGAGTTCTAACTCCTACGAGTGTGGAAGAAAAGGAAACGATTTTGATTCATTCATTGGCTTCATTTTTCCATAATTTGAGGGGTTGTAGTGATAATTACTCAACTTGTGATTGATATGGAGAAATTGTCACAATTTGTTTGTTTGCCCTGCACATGTATATTGAGTTGGAGGATCAATGTGGATTTGGTTGTTACAGTTTGTAATTTGCATTGCAGTTGGGAGTTGGACCACCACATTACTCAATTATTGGCACCACTACTCTATAGCCTATAGTTGTGGGGCATAAAGTGGAGTATATCATATTAATTCTACATTATTTCCCTTTCATTTTCTCTCCTCTCTCAACTCTTAATGGTTCTTTGTTCTATTCATAATATATACGCCGGATCATAAATTAGTAACTGCATCCAATTTTCAAGAAAAATTTCAATTGTGTCGAACTTTCCTCCCTTAAACAGCTGAACTTTCAAAATTGATAAAGGCGAACCTGATCTCCCTTTGGCACCCTTTCAGGCAGTTTGATTTCGAAAAACTAACTATTACTGGACCTTTGCTTAGCCATTTTCTTTAAGCGTTTGTTTGCCACAATTTATTTTAAAAAAATATTTTTTAAAAATTTATTTTCAACTATACAATTTTCAAATAAAATAATTTTGCGTGTTTACCTATAACTTGTCCTTATTTTTTAATAGCACATTATCCAAAAAAATATTTTTCATTTTCAATAATCTCTTACAAACACTAAACCATTAAGGAATCTAAATTTTTGTTTAATATATATATTCTCGATCTATGTTGACAAAAAAGGCCGACATAAACAACATTTTTTAGGGCACTTTTCATGCGCTTAGCTTCTGCTAGTGACAGGACTACACGATATTACTGTGTGTCAGACATGAGTTTAAGGTTAATTATTCTTGATGAATAAATTGTGAAGTTTGATTGGATTTCTAAAATAGATTGAAACTTCTTTCTTTGTTAAATCCCAGTTGTTGGTTAGTTACTAATATACAATTGCAATTAATGAAATGTGAATCATTTTACTCAAAAGTTCTTTTATTTTTTTAAATTATATATAAAAATAATGATTATCTTATATACATATTCGTGCGGTATCATCAACACAACCCTCGAACAAAAATGTTAGTTTAAAATAAATTTTGTGAATAGAAAAAAAAAAAAAAAAAACCCTACTATTTTGAGTTAGATCTCGACACTTTGGCAACATTTAGACCAATCATTTCAAAAACAGTTTTTAAAATCGGTGACCTAAATTTTGTCGACAATTATTTTGCAAATAAAATTTGTACAAATGGATTAATTGAGAGACTTTTAGCTTATGATTTTCACGCACCAATCTTGGTAGCATGTGTCCTCATCTATAATTTAATTGTCAAAAAGACTTTTGAGCAACTTTTTGACAATTAAATATTGACTTTTGCACTTATTGTTAAGTATGTTGCTTAAATATCAAACATAGTAAGATTATGAAAAAGTTATCAATTTCTTTTTCTCAAATGTGGTGAAGGTAGAAATGGATCTATATTACAACGTGTAACGAAAGTTTACGTCTATTGTAACGTTATAAAAAAACATATTTTAGTAATTCTAATATCGGGAGTCAAACTTGTGTATTTATTAAACGGTATTATTAGTAGAATTTGAATATTTTGATAATTAATTTAGCACGATTTGAAATGCATTAAAGCGTTACTCACACCATTACTCGTTTAGTTAGAATTCTGCTCTAAAGTCAAACTTTAATAAGTCGATAAGCAAATATTATGAAAAGACATGTACACATGACGCGATGGTAGAGGTGTCAATGGGCAGGGGTCGAGCCGAGTCGGCTCAGCCCATTGACCCACTAGCTCGGCTCGTCACAAGCCAAGCTCGGGCTCGGCTCGTAAATACCCGAGCTCGGCTCGGCCCACAAGCTAGTGACTCGTGTGCGGCTCGTGGGCCGAGCCAAGCTTTAGCTCGTGGCTCGGGTAAATTTTTTTTTTTATTTTATATTAATAAGATATGCCTTTTTTTATAAAAAAAATGAATTTTTGAACGAGCCCAAGAACCGTTCGTGAAAAAAACGAGCCGAGCTGGGCTGGGCTGGGCTGGGCGGGCTCGCTAAGCTCGCTCATGCTTGGACTCGTCTTTTGACGAGCCCGAGCAGTTCGTAGCTCGGTGGCAACGAGCCGGCTCGGCTCGATTGCCACCACTACGCGATGAATTGGGCCTGTGATTTTTTCTCGTCTAGAATTTTCTCTTAAAATTTTATGTTCTTATTCTTATTTTATAAATTGCATTTCTCACTTTCATGTAACAATGAAAAAGATGCGTAGACAAGACGCAAACTATCGTGGCCAAGCACTTCCCCTATGGTCCATTTTTACACGTCATGTTCATCCTCGTGGTTTTGGACTAGATTAGTGTTCTTCATCACCATTGATTTTGAGCATCAATTTAGGCGGTAACATATGATATATCCAATTAAATGAACATTCTAACAACGCATTTAATCAGACTTATCATTCAGTGTCACTTACATACCATATAAATTGATGTAGCATTATTCTTTGGACTATGGGGGATTCATTGGTCGTGCAAGTTTATAGCTTTTTTCAGTTTTCAATGAAAATCAAATAGAATAATTATAAATATTAAAAAAAAAAAAAAATCTTACTGCAGTAATGGTGCAAAAAACTGGAAGTAGCAGGTAACAGCCGTTACTCCCCGTGCACGACTGGCCCCCACCACGACGCAACCACCGTTGTCACCACCTTCACCGCACTTACGACACTCAACACTGATGCGGCAAAATCTCCGCCCTTCACTTTTTTATCATCTAATCTTTTTCCTACCTACCACCCCTACTTTTTCCTGAATTGCAGTTTGGACCCTAACAATTATTAAATACACCCATAACCATCCATGGCGGCACGGTATAAATATACATTATATGTATCAAGAATCAATAATGTCAACATTTAGAGCCTTCCTGTCAGTTTCATACTTATAGAATTATAGAAACAAAAAAATACTTGTATATTGTATGTATATGGGATGCATTTTTTATATTGAAAGAGCTTGAAAATTACGCCATTGTGGAATTTTCTGTTGAATTCTGTGGAAAATTTTGCTGATGTCTGAGGTCAACGAGTCCACGGAATATACGAGTCTGTTTGATGAGGACGTGGGGAGAATTCCGCACAGTTACAGTTCCACTGCCGTGGACGGCGGAGCTAATGCGGCATCGGTGGCGGAGGGTGTTGGGAGTGGGGATTGGAGGTATCAGGCGGTGGAGTTTGCGAAGGGGGCGGCGGAGATGAGTGTGGAGTTTGGGAAGGGAGTTAGGGATGTAGTGAAGCAGAGTATTCTGAGAGAAGATTCTGTGATTGTGAGGAAGTTGAAAGGACCGTGCGAGAGAATTTGCAGGAAATTGGGGTTTTTGAACGAGTATTTGCCAGAAGATCGCGATCCGTTACATTCATGGAGTGTGATCATCTGTGTTTGGGTTCTTGCTCTTGCAGGTAATTTTTTTGATAAATTTCTGTATTATTGATAAATTCTGATGTTTTGCATGTATATTCTCCATTGTAAGATCAAGTCCGCGTTTGATGGTTTGCAATTGAGAGCTATAAACTTGGATTTCATAAAATTTTTATCTAGAACTCGGATTTGGTGCTGCCAAATATAATGCAAGTTTTCTTAGCAATTTCAAATAGTTGAATGATATTTCATCGAATTCTGGTTTGATATATTTGTGGTGATTCATCATTGTATCATACTATGTGTCAACTCTTTTAAAGGAAAGGATTACGCTGATGCTAGAAAAGGATTATGCGCGAACATATTTTCCACTTGTGTTGCAAAATAATGTATAACTGCAGAACTTATGTGAAACTAGAACTAAGTACTGCTAGCGGGATAGTGAGGAAACCCAAATAAAGAACGAACAGCAAAAATTTGTTGTTAGTTTATGATTGATTGTTCTAAATACCATAAAACTGTTTTGCATTTTCAAGCTACTATGTGGAGGAGTACAGTTTATAGGTTACACGAGTCCTGTTTGGTTTTTCTTTTCCTTCTTTTTATGTTGGGGTTTACTGGCATTTCCGAAATATTCATAAATTCTAAGTATGGGATGTCCAGCTGTTCAGAAGCTTGGGAAATGATGTGATGAATTTTGATTGATCACCGTAGATGTTGAATTTTGAGAGGCGATTTTATATTGTCACTTCTTGCTAAATTCAGAAGCTTGCTTGCTGGGCTAAGGGTTCTTATGAAATTCTGAACTTCCTATCTCTGCTCCTGGCAGTGATGCATGGTAAAATTAGGAGCGATGCTACATTTTTCTTTATTAATTCACATGTTTGGCCACAAATAGTGTCCAGGCAGTGATGCATGGTAAAATTGGGAGCGATGCTACATTTTTCTTTATTAATTCACATGTTTGGCCACAAATAGTGTTTCCACATAATTTATAATGTGATTGTCAAGCATACATTTATACATACATTCTCTCTTTGCTCCATACAATAATTTGCATGTATATTATGCTTTTGAATTTCGTTTGCATACATTTCTCTTCCTGACTGAGTGTTTATCTGCAGTATTAATTGTGAATACTGATCATGATACTACAACTTCTCTGGTTAAGAAAATTAAGATCCATCCTTCTAGCGCTAGCCTTATATTGCTTCCAGACGGTAGACGCTTAGCTTACCAGGAACAAGGAGTTCCAGCTGAGCAAGCTAGATTTTCCATGATTGTTCCTCATCCTTTTCTTTCATCCCGACTTGCAGGTATCTTGATATTAAGCACTTTTTTCTGAAAAACTTAATCAAGAAAATAATGGGTGAAAGCTGTTTTTGTTAAATTTCTCTGAATATTTCTTCAATTTTTTCTGGGGATTCTACTTCTGAAACTAGGAATTCCTGGCCTCAAGGATTCCCTTCTACAAAACTTTGGTGTTCGGATGGTGACATATGACCTACCCGGATTTGGGGAAAGTGATCCTCATCCTGATAGGAACCTTGAGACATCGGCTCTGGATATGTTACACTTATCCTATGCTTTGACTATTACTGACAAGTTCTGGGTGGTTGGATACTCTGATGGAAGCATGCATGCATGGGCTGCCCTTCGATACATTCCTGATAGGCTTGCAGGTTGAACAGTTTCTAAACTGCATTTTCAATTGATTGTCTTTATGTTTCCATATTCTTAGTTTTTTCTGTACTGCATTTGTCTAAAGGATATTTTTCTTTCTATCGAAGATTTTGCTGTCTTTGGAGCATCTTGAATGTGACGTGTTAAACCAACGGTGAACATCCAATAATACACTTTGAATTGCTGGGGTTTGTAGCTATTAGAAAGTAATCATTGTCTGGAAAACAACACAGATATGTACTTAAAAGAGTATATGTCCTCTTTAGAGAAACCTTAGCTAGGTCAGAGCACAATGCAGTGATGTTATGCATCTTATATTACTGCAACCTTTGCACAGATTGGAATGGTTGTGATGGTTCTAAGTTATTGGAGACAGACCATGGAAAGTCTCATTTTTTTCCCATAATTCATAGAGCATCTGTTTCTGAATTAATTTTTACTGAATTTGTAGGTGCTATCATGGTTGCTCCAATGGTCAATCCATATGAATCAAGAATGACCAAGGAAGAAAGGCGGAGAATATGGGGAAAATGGACAATAAAGAAGAAATTGAGTTATCAATTAGCTCGGAAGTTCCCTAGATTACTCCCTTACTTCTATCGGAAAAGCTTCCTTTCTGGAAAACATGGCCAGATAGATAAATGGCTTTCATTGTCACTTGGCTCCAGGGTGAGTCATCTTGATTGAAAACAAAATATTGCAGTACAATCTTTGCATGTTGAGTAGAGAAGATTGTATAGCACCGGTACTATTAAGGAAGAGAGAAGTTAAAATCCTGTTTGTTATGCTATCCAGCAGTCAGGTCTAATATTGTGTACCACAACAAACACTTGTTTTCAGTCAGCTTGCTATATCTGTCTTTTGAAATTATAAAACAGTGGTTATGTACTGATATAAATGATGGGATATCATTACCAAAATCAGATTACATTTTGGTTATAAATGCCGATATTGTTGGTTAAGAGTATTGATATAACAGATAGGCTATCACTAGCATCAGTTCACATTTTGGTTTATAAATGCCAATAGTGTTGCTACAGATAAATTTCTTGTTAGTATTTCCACTTTTCAGTTAAATCTAAAAAAATTCTGATAGAAAATTATGATAAATGGTCTAGGATAGAGCTCTGGTAGAAGGCCAAATGTTTGAAGAGTTCTGGCAGAGAAATGTTGAAGAATCAGTTCGACAGGCCAATGTAAAACCATTTGTCGAGGAAGCTGTCTTGCAGGTTTCTAACTGGGATTTCAGCATCGCAGACCTTAAAGTACCGAATAAACATCAGGGTAAAGGCATTCTTCTTTGGCTCAAATCAATTTACAATCGGGAAGAAGAAAGATCCAGTGGATTTCTTGGCCCAATACACGTATGGCAGGTCAGTTAACTATCCGGTCCCTTTATATTTGAGTTCAGTTTCTCAGCGAGATGTCATGTTTTATTTCCTGCATTTTGGATCCCCTGTTCATGGAATTATGACACATCTTCTGTGGGGATTTATAAAATAAACATATAAGCTTTCTTGCAGATGCAGAATATTGCTAATTGATGCGTTGTGAATTTAACAATAATTTTTCATGTGATATTAGTGCTGAATTTTGAAAGTAGCGAGATTCAAGACTGCTTAAAATCAGATTCACTTATGGGCTTGATCTAAAAATGTAGACCAAGCCTATGGATTTTTATTCAAAAGGATGCAGCAAAATCTGTTTCTTGAATCACGAGGAAAAGAAGGGAAAAAAAACTTCCTTCTGATTAAACTGTCAAAACATTTCTATCTACATACTCTACGTTCTTCTCATTCTTGAGTCGGTCGAAAAGGTTAATTATGAAAATTCTTGTGAAAATAAAAACTTCAGTTGTGCTGACAACCTTATTTGCTTCTGCTTTCCAATTCTGTCAAATAGGGAGCCGAAGATCTGGTGGTCCCTCCATCAATGAGTGACTTTGTGCACCGAGTTCTACCAGATACCATGCTGCATAAGCTCCCATACGATGGCCATTTCACGTATTTTCTCTTTTGCGACGAATGCCATCAGCAAATGTTTACTACTGTTTTTGGAAGTCCTCAAGGTCCTCTTCCCCCAAAAGTGGATCAAACTCCAATTGAAGGCGTTGAAAATAATTCAGAGGAAGTAATTTTCAGTGATGCAACAACAGAGGAAGAGAATGTTTCTTGTTTAACCACAGATGTGAAAGAACTACAGATTCATTTTGATGCATAGCATAAGAAATGTGAAATTTTGTGGACAATAATGGAGCAGTATTACTAAGATTATAGAAGATAACATTTGTATAGTGTGAGATCCATTATGAACTCTTGAAAGATGAAATAGAACACTTCTAGGACTCAACAGCCAATAATGCATTTATTCCTTCATAGTCGGTCTAAATATTGATAATGGAGCAGTGGTCAGTCTCAATCCTCGTAAATAGGAGGATTGCGATAATTTTTGTGATACGAAGAATCTTTACAGAGGTTTTATGGGGACATTTGGAGGATGAATGGAACACAATGGTAAGTTGAATTTACTTAATTGACTTTTAAGTTCATTGAGAATAATGTACAGTTTGTTATTACAGTGTACTTTTTGGCACAAGAAACCATTCTTCAAGACATGTTGGTGATTCTGTGTAAATGTTACATAATAGTGCAATTTTCATCGGGTAAATGAATCTAACTTCTATAATGTTGGCCAAAACGAGCATGTTTGGCTTTGTTGAAATTCTACAAAATGTCAAAATTTTAGTTCATTTGGCAGAAAGAAGAGTGCTTGTTTTGACAATGAGTAGGACGAACTTTTAACAAAAAAGCAGCTTCTTTTGTAGAATGAAGCGAAAGCAAACATACTCCTACGAGCACCGTAATTACTTGATTTGAATGTAAACGGCCCAAGTTGGATACACAGAGCCCCCACACGATTTGTCTCACTAGTGAAGATGCCTTTACGTACGAGTTGTCTCATAAATCATTTACAAGTTCACATGACTTCTCAACATTCACCTACACATACCTCGTTAACATTCAAATAGTGTTCAACCTCACAATAACGATAAACAACTTGGTAAAAAAAAATCTTTCATCACACAGGCCGCACAGAATAAAACTGATGACAACGCACCAAAAAAGCATCACCCATCTGCATTGGCACAAGGTACGTTTGACAAAATACAAACAGTTTCTTACATTCGAATAGAACTTCTACAGAGCGAGATAGCATGAAAGACACGAAATTTCCACATTAGGGATAACGGCCCTCGAGCTTCACATTATCAGTGAAGTTGTGATCAAGATTGGCAGCTCCAACTTCTAACCCAATCAGTCAAAGTGGCCACATTCATGTTTATGTCTTCAATACAGTCACTTCTCATTGCCACCACAATTTCTTCTGGATAACTCCCTTTGGCCTCCTCCAGCAACACTTGAAAGATTTCACATTCGATATTGTTTGTAAGTTTCTGCCCTGCATAACCCCTGGCACATAGGTAAAAAGGTTGAGGAAAGAGATTTGATGACAACAGTGGCTAAAACTCAAAAGAATAACCTGAGACGAGATCAAGAGTGCAAAACAACCAATTGCAACAATTGCGAAATATATAACCTCTTTGTCAATCTGTCATACAACACGGAGTTTTCGGTTTGAAGCACGACTACACGGTCGAACCAACGCTCAGGAAAGAAGTCACCTCCATGGTAATCCACAATGTTTCCACCTTCTTCCATCAAATCCTCGAGCTCATCACATACCTGTTCAATTCATACAGTGGGCAACATCCAAAATAAGAAATGGACTTGAGATCACACATCATTTCCTCTGGCTCAAAATCTCACATTCTGTTACATCTTAACATGCAAGAAATTAACATGGTAAACAGAGCATCCTGCATCCTGTGTCCAACAAAGAATTGTTCTTGTTTTGAAGTCGATAGTAATAAAATAGTTAGACATATTCATGCTTTCATTCTACCAGGTTGAGCCACCAATCACCAACACTTCAGAAGCTCAAACGAATATCGAGAAAAGGAAAAAGAAATCCACTCCAAACAAACTCATACATGGACAACAACAAAATAAGAGCATCTTTCGAGTGGCTTTATCTAAGATAAGCACCAAAATGTCACTTGTGTTGACGTAGGCCTAGTTTGAGCCCCCATTTTTGAGCATAAATTTTGTAAAGAGTGATTTTTTTGAGAATGTATGGCTAAAAAGTAAATAAAGATTTTGGATTTATGTGCAAAATTATTTTATAGAGAGAATGTGCAGCTGAAAATGAGTTTGAAGAATGGGGGCTAAAGCAGGGGCTTATTTTGTATGTAGGTGAGTTTACATTTAAAGTAAGCTACACATTTAGTGCTTATCTTTAAGATAAACCACTCACACATGCTCTAAGCCTGATTTCCAATAAATTTGAAGTCTGCTAAGTGAATCCTTATTTAACATTTTGTTCAAACATTGTTAGATTTGTTAGAAGATCCAAACTAACAAGATGGACAAAACCAGTAATTTCACTGCATGAAAGAGATCCACGTAAACCAACTAATCAGATCAAATCAATCCCAGTTGCAAGAGGGCAGGTTCCTCAAGCCTGCTTGTTCATTATAATTCTCTATTTTCGCTGGTCTTTATCAGGACCTAAACAATGGTAAATTCAAAAAATTAATTTAGTTTTGAATTGATTCTGTTTTCAATTAAAATAACCAAAATCCATGCTGCGTATGCTCTTCTCTGTATAGGGTATACTTCTCTATAGCTCAAGTCAAATTAACAATATTCCGGGCCAGAGAAATTAACCAATTCAAGATGCGAATCAGTTCATAACAAAAGTGGGATTGTTTAGACCATTTTTTCTTTCATTTGTCTAAAGTTTTGTCAATTACGACACGAAAGAATCGAACAGAAAATTACTTTTGTTTGATTATAATAATAATAAAAAAAACCACGCAAGGTCTAGAACTCCCTTTGCTTGTGAACAAATACCTTCAAAATACACACGAATTATATAAACACAATGAGGTTTCCCTTAAAATAAATAATCCAAACATCAATATTCATACACAAACCCTTCAACCAAGCTCCAGGTCAGATTCGTATAATTTTACGCAAAAAATTACTAATTCAATCAAAAAACTTACGAGATCTTCATTGATGAGATAACAGTCGAACTGGTCATCCCAGCCGTCGTGGAGGTTCTTCTCCTTGACCAAATCACCGATATTTATATGGCGTAATTGAATAGCCTCCGCCAGAGCTGTCGCCGTCGTGGTCTTACCAGTTCCAGGCGTTCCCGTTATCAATATATTTGGCTTCTCCCTCTTCTTCCTGCCGCCTCCGCCATTTTGCGCCATCTGCCTACGCTACTTCTGCGTACTCTTTAATTTGAATCTTTTTTTTTTTTCTTTTTTTTGGGGCAATGGGTGCTTGGGTTTTGCATTATATAGTGTCGCGACTTCAGTTAAAAGGGTAAATTACATTTCTGATCAATTAACTTTCAGTGAAATCCTATTGGAGTCATTCAACTTCAATTTATTGCAATTGGGTTATTTATCTTTAATTTTATTGCACAATAAGTACCTCATTTTGATTCCAATACAAGGCACTGTCCTACAATTTAGACTATTTTCAATTTGTAAACAAATTTGCTGGGTAACACTACACAACAAGCAAGTACATGTAATCCGAAATAATCAATACTAACTTCACAACTATTGTAAATATCAAAGATATTATAAATACTCGATTCAAATACAAATTTCGTTGCAGTCACCATAAGAAGTTCGATAGAAACAAAACAATACATAGAATTTCATCATTGCACGTTGGCTAGTACACTTAACCTATAAAAAGGACCGTTGATACGCTGTCACATTTTACAATCCTGAGAGAATGATACTCGGATTGCCAAGACTCCTACGGGAGGCAGTAGTGGGAATTTTCCGTTACAATGGATTCTAAATCCTAATAATGGAGAAGCTTGGATCAGACTTTTGTTACCTTGGTGAAACATAGTGTATTGAGAAGGCTTAGAATGACTCCCCATAGAGCAATTTCAGGGGAAAAAGAACTCATTTTGACTTTAGCTTGGTGAAGAAGCATCAGGGGTGGAGTTCACTGTACATACTTTAGTATACTTACAAAACTTGCATTTCCAACGCTCCTCCGTTGGAGTATAACGGGCTTCTCTTTTGTTTAGCCAGAACTCAACAGAAGACTTAATTTGATCCGTAAGCCATTCAGAATCATAAGCAAACGGATCCTCACCAAGCAAGGATTGATCTTCTTGAGATTCATATCTGCACCGAATAATCGAAGTTAAAAATTGAATCTTGTACATTTGTATTGTCGGTTGAGGTTGATTCAATTTTAACATTGAATTTTTCAAAAAAGATTCTATTTCTATAAAATAGAAAAATGTAACAGACTAAAGGAGGCTTTCAGGAGTTCTGAAGGAAAGAAACCGAATATATCTTGGGATAGGAAGTTGAAATTCGCCCAAGAAAGTCACCCTAGTCTAGTCTGAAGGAAGGTAAAAGAACTTCAGAATTCCTTTCGAGCCCACCTCAAAATTAGTAGGTTGTTAGCTCGAGGAAGCCGGCGACAACTATTTCGAAAATACCCCACCAGATCGTTTAGAGTCTGAAACAGCAACCAAAAATAAGATTAGATCAAAGCAAGCACAAAGAAGCATAAACATCGATAAACTCTTATTTCTAACACAGACTGAAATCCAGCTCTGCATCAGAAGATTTGGACAAAGTCCTTCAAATTTGACACTCTGCTCTCTCTTGTTTCATACGAGGGATGCAAATTTCTCTCAATAAGCAATCTTGTTTATTTGTTTTTATCGATAAAGAGGTTATTCTATTGTGTAGAGGTCATGAGGCGCGTACACAGAAAGGTATGTTGTTTATAGAGTATAAATTCCTCATTCGAACAATCTGAATATACCACACTAACAGAATTATCGTAATGTAACTTGAACAGCGTAACAAGATGATCAACAGGATCTAAATGTTAAATCGAGCCCACCAACTTCACGATATTTTCTTAAAATGAATTTACTGCTTTCGAAAGTGCTAAAGGCGTTCAACAATTATTTTCCAGGATAGAACGAATTTTCCTTCCTACGGAAGTAACACATCAATTTGCAGGAGTTTCAACGAACTCAATGAAGTGTTTTCACTTCAAGAATAGTATCAGAACGAGAGAGAATGAGATTCAAAGTGAAGAAAATTTGCAATGAAAATGGTGCAATTTTTCTAGTAGTAGGGCAGATTACTTATAGATTCACTCATTGCCATTCGAACATCCTTTAAGCCTCTTCAGAATAGTCGTCACTGTTCAGACAGCCCTCCAAACCCGAACAGACAACACTATTCATAATGAAATACTGTTAAGTCTGTTAACAGGTGACTCGGACAAAAAGTTTACTTAGAAATAAGTCAATCAAAATTAACTTCATTAAGAGTACCCAAAAAATTGATTGATTACAATTTAATGCAAAAGTTTAAAAATAAAGTGTACCACCCCCATCCGAACACGAACCGGACTCGAGCCCAAACCTAATTGTCAAATACACTATATAAACTACGCCAAAGTTTCCTAACTTTCCTAAGTGGGATAAGTGTTCAACAATTTTCAATAAATCAAATTCTTCAATAGTTTACAGTTTCAAGTAGGTATTTTGACATCAAATATTTCATTCAACTTTATATGATTTTTGATAAATAAACACATCACATTAATCACTCCACGGAGTAGAACGTGAATATGCTTGGTTCCGTTAAAATCAAAGTACGGGTCCTACTAAAATCTGAGCTCAAAATTGACCCAATTCACTAATTAACAAACCATTTCCAATGAGGTCACCCACCGTTACCATAGTACGCAACCATTATCATATATGCTAAAAGAGTAAGAATCTTCTTTAACGTACGTTATTTTCAATGCAATCCTTACCTCTGAAGCGAAACCAGATTTTCTCGTATTTTCTCTAATTTCTGGGGATAAAATGTAATGAGGATTCACTGAAAAGTAATTAAAAAGATTTTCTGCAGGGAATTTATCATCAACTAAACTGTCCCACAGATACTTGTAGCACATCATCTGAAGCCTGCCAAAATAAAGTTTGACCATATGAGTTACAAGCACACAAAAAAGTTTATAGCAATTTACAGATTATACCTTCCATTCCTTCGTTGAGGTTCACTCGGAAGTCTTGGATGCACACGAGTTTTCGTGTCAACCAATGTTGCATATCTTTCAGAATCTGTCAGAGGTAATCGAATTTCATCGATTTTTCCTATTATCCATATGCCTTCCACAAAGCCTACTCTGGAGGTACAAGAAGTTGCAAGTTCATGAGACCGTGATACGCGCACACACACTAAACCCCACGAAGTTTCTAAATAACACGGTTTGATCTAAATAAATGATAATTCTTGCACTGTTACAAAAGACGCTGCATGTCGCACAATTCTTCACTTGAAGTAAACAATTTTATCGGACAAAAACTTAAAATGCCACTCCTATAGACCCTCGTATCTCTTGACGCACATTCCGCTTTGAAATATTACTCGTATCAAGAAAGTTTTGAGGAGTAATTGTCAACCAATAAAATGTTATTCACGAGGCAAAACGTCGCAGCGAGGTCTTAAATTTTGTGAATGCTCGAAAAGAATGTCAAGGGCAGAATTTTTATACAACTCAAAACTTAATGGTGATCATTTATTTTTAGCCACAATTGATGCAAAAATATGATCATGAACACACCCATTGGGCCGCATAACAAATCATCAAACTTACACTGGTAACTCGCGTGTCAATCCATCAAAGATCAGTTGATTTGCACCGACTATAAAATTCAAAAATTTCTGTGCCCATATATCTTCATTTGATTTAACAGGCACTTTTTCACTTTTAGTAACCTGTCCACATTCATAAGAGAAATCAGACAATATTATCAACGACAAAAGACTATTAACTCTAAATGTAGTTCTGCTTTGGCAATATCAAAGGCAAGATGATAATTTCTGTCCCAGAAAACACAGCATTATGGAAACAGACTTAAAGCATGTTTGGCTCAGCTTAACATTTGTCCCCAAACACTTTTGAATGTGTTACTTTCTTCTAATTTGAAGTAAAAATAAGGTTACATCTTTTGAAGTAACTTTTTTCAAGAAAAGAAAAAAATTATTTATATAAACTCAGGATATATACGAGGGATGCAGGATAGAAGTTTATCATATAGTACCTCTTGTTCAAGTTCGACATGGCGAGCTCTACCTACTTTCATAGCATTAGTGATTTCGGGTTTGCCAAAGAGTAGAAAAAACTCCATTTGCTTTTCACACCATTCCTAAATCAAACATAAATAAACTCAAAAAACCGTAAATACAGAAGGGAAAAAAAACACCATTTTTTTTTTTTTTTCATTTTTACAACAAAAAACAAGCAAAAATTAGGAAGTGAAACACTAGATTTTACCGTGGCAATAATATCAGTAACAGAGAGGCCTCTTTCCCGGCGGAACCGATGCAGAAACGAGTCGATACCTCTGTTTCTCTTCTTCAGGGGTCTACTGTCCCAGTCCGACCAGTCAACGCGACCCGAGTCCTCAATATCAGGTGCCGTACCACCCAAAAGAGTGCGAGTTATGGATTGAATGCAACTCGGATTACGGGGTAACTGTGCGGCGACAAATGCAGCATCGATGAGCGCCATTTCTTCTTCGCTAATGATTTCTTGGGGGATTTTGGTGGCATTGGATGAGGTTGGAGGACGGGGAGGAGCCGGGGACTCAGTCATCTTGTGAGTAAGTCAGCGCGTTTAGACAGGTACGACCGTTGGAATTGCAACGAATGGAGGAACGGTGATATGAGTGAGATGTTTTTAATGTATCACATCGTATATAATTCTATTATTCATAATATTTTTCTCACAATGAATAGAAAATAAAAATCTATTCAAATATCTAACTATACAAATTGTTTAAAAATAGATAATTAGAGTTTGTTTGATAAAGATTAAAATCTGATTAAAATTGAAAAATTAACTATTATTATTGACTTTTATTAGACGAGTGGGACTCAATAATAACTATATTTTCAATTTTAATTTGATTAAAATTCCTCCCAAACAAGCTCCGAGAGGATTATGCAATCATAACACACGGTGCTTTATTGGGAAACCTTAGGTTTCTTCCCTCGTAAGCTAATTGAACACCACCTTTGGTGATTAATATTATAAAGTCAAAAAAGATAAAAAGGAAGAAAATCAAATAAAGTTGTTGACAGCAGAAACCAAAATTTTCATTGGGAAACACATCTTTTAAAAGGAAAAAAAGAAAAATTATTGAAAAAAATATATCTTCATGAATAAAGTTAGATGATTTATTATTAATAGAAATGTTCTTATGTCCACAGTTGAAAGTCTTATCTTGTCCACTTAAAAAAAACTTTACTTACGATTATCGCATGAGAATCGTAATTAAGGTTCACATGTCACATCAGTAAGTAGACAGTCTTATCCTACTCACAGTGAACAGGAGAACAAGGAGAACAATTTCGCTATTATTAAATTATTCTCTCTCTCTCTATCTACAAACCAGAAGTCTCTGAGATGTTGGAACAAAGCTATCAAGCAGTTCCTGCTCCCAAGTATTGAAGTAGATTCAGTGGAGATGGATGGAGGATGAGTTTGTTGATATACAATTCAATGTTTCAATCCTATGTTCATATCTCCAGAAATACAATTCATTGCAACGTGATGAGTCCCATTGACAATATGCAAAGGACTAGTAATATCATGTTCATTTATATCAATTTTAATATTATGTAGGACTGGGCAAAATGTCCGAACCGAACTGAACCGGAACCGGAACCGAACCGAACCGAGCGGGTTTTCTTAACTTAAAAACCCGAAGAACCGAGAACCGAAGAACCGAAAAATTTTGGTTCGGTTCTCGGTTCTAGACCTAGAACCGAATATGAACCGAATTTTTTTTGATAAATCAATTTATTTTATTTTTTATAAACAAATGAACAATTTTTTATTTTAACTATTTGATATATA